GCTTGAGGTGCCAGCGGGGGTGTTGTCCCCCCTCATGCTGTTCTGCACTGGGAGAATCAGGGAAGGAAAGGCTGAGGTGATTCACACATGAGTCAACAGCTATCAGCTATATAAGCCTGACCACTCATGGAGCCTGGGCATCATACAGACCTCAGATCGCAAAGGTAAGTCCCCTTCGCTCACTCTCTCCACTCATCAGCACTCTCACACTATCTGCAGCTCTGATACTCTGGCGTTCTCACTAATGATGTGGATTTTATCATCTAACTTTACATTTATAGCCTTTAAATTGCTATTTTTACATTATGGAGAAACTAAGTTTAAGATTCCACACAGGGAATAAAATAAAGATTACAGTGATTTTGGAATGAAGCAATCATTGTTTATACAAGGGCAACGTGTTTTTTGATGAATTTACCAGATATTGAAATCCAAACTCGGGCACATAGGCTGTCATTTTGTCATTTGGAAGTGAGATTGAACATAGCAGAAGGCTTAATTGCTTCTATCTATCTATCAGGCTGAAGAGGCCTGGGCTTTGCTGACATGCTCATTGTGAGGGATACAGGCAACTTTCATATGCAAGGAATTCACTTTTTAATGTTGTATAATTTTATTGGACAGTCTGTTTTAATTTGAATTAGCAGTATGACTTGAGAGAATCTGATATCGGATATTAAGTGTCATGTACAATCCAGATCAACAGAAATATCAAGTCAGGATTTCAAGATTGCTCGATGATTAGACACCGCTTCAGGACTTTACCGTTTCTAGATTGAAAATACACTTTTGTAATAGAAGTTTACTGCAAGTGATTTCTTAATGCAGTTTAGAAAAATGCGATTGCAATGCAATTTTCAAATAAATTGTATTTAGGGATGCAGATTTAGCCTAAATTAAGCTGTCATTAGTTAGCTAGGGGCCATATCCATTCGCTTTGTATATGCACACTATTGTTGTACTTTTATTTAGTAAGGATGCATTAACAGGATGCATTTTAAAAGTGCTTTATTTTTTATTATTATTATTTATTTATTCTATTCATCAAATAGAAAATATTTGGTACAATTGTTGATGATAAGATATATTTCTTGAGCAACAAATCCGCATATTGGAATCATTTCATGCTCGCGTTGACACTGATGACTGGAGTAATGGCTGCTGAAAATTTAGATTTGCCATCACCGGAATTACATTTTAAAACTTATTGTAAAATCATGTTGTAATATAATTTCACAAGATTACTGTTTTTACTGCATTTTTTTTTTAATTAAAATATTTGAATCGATATTCAAAATAATGCTTATTGTTTTATTTCAGCAGGTATTGCTGCTCTGTTGCAAAGTTAAAGACCACTCAACACAGGAAGCATGTATTTTCCAGTTCTTCTCTACCCCTCCATTTTGGGCATGCTCGGTCTGGTTCATGGCATTCCCATTCATCAGGATAGCCTGAAAAACTTGGTCAAACTGCAGGCAGACACCATCATCCTCAGAATCAAGGATCACAATGAGAAGGTATCCGGTTAAAACTCTGTGAACTAGTTTGCAAGGCTTCTGTTCTGTTAAACTCCATAAGATGATTCATATAGCCGTGCTCATTTGTGTCTTCTCTCACAGCTGAAGCTATCTCCAAAGCTCTTCATTGGCGATCCAGAACTTTACCCTGAGGTTCCTGCTGATAAACCCATCCAAGGTCTCGGGTCTATCGTGGACACCGTAACTACCTTCCAGAAGGTTCTGCAAAGGCTGCCCAAGGGGCATGTGAGCCAGATACGCAACGATTTGTTCACAGTCCTGGGTTACCTGAAGGATAGAATGATATCTATGCATTGCACACTCAAGGAGCCAGCTAATGAGAGGTCACTGGACGCTTTCTTGGAGAGCAATGCCACCCACCACATTACTTTTGGGTACTTGGCTTTAGACCGACTGGAACAGTTCATGCAAAAGCTGATCGTTAATCTGGACCATTTGAAAAGCTGCTAATTTGCTATTATTGTAGCATTAAAAATATACTATTTATTATATTTATTTAAATCCTTGTATATTTATAGTCCAAAGCAGCATTTTGGCACATATTGATATGTACAAATTTATTCCCTGACATTAAACGGGAAGCTAAAAACGCTGTCGCAATGTCATGGCATGCCAAACAATCTGTCCTTACTACGTAAACACTAGCAATCTGATACCTGCACACATTACCATGTCACACTTCATGCTGTCTGCAGGATGACATCAGCATTTGCTGAGCGTGCTCTGTGATGTCACTGTGTTTACCAGAAGCAAGGAGGTCAGACTCTGCTGGGAAGCTGGAATCATGTTCCCATTTTACTTCTTGCTGCAACACCAGCATTGTACACTCTCAGGAAAAAAAGGTACAAAAGCTGTCACTAAGGTGGTACCTTTTCGCAAGGTATGAATATGTACCTTTACGGTACTTGTATGCACCCTTTAGTGGTAAATGTGTACCTTTTGAAAGTGTACTGCCCCAGTGACCCGATTCTGTACCTTTTTTTTTTCCTGCTGGTATTGGGGGGGGGCTTATATTTTCCTACACCGTATGAATCTATGCACTTTGAATATACTGACTATTGTTATTAGTTTTGTATTTTGTGTATTGATGCATTTTTTAATATAAAATGTTACCAATAAAAGAAATTCTAAGTTACATGGACACTTTTGCTATTTATTGTGGCTCCATTTATGCCAAAGCAATTTGCGTATGTTTATGGTCATTGCATCGTTTCCCAGTGGAACCAAAAATGATAAATGCAGCAGTGGAATGGTTTTTAAAAGATCAATATATCAACAACAGACTTTCTTTCACTATACACTATACCGGTCTTTTTTTTATTTTTTATATTGCATCAAATATTATTTGCTGAGATTAAAGGGGTCATATGATGCGATTTTCAATTTTTCCTTTCTCTTTGAAGTGTTACAAGCTATTGGTGCATAAAGATCTGTAAAGTTGCAAAGACTAAAGTCTCAAATCCAAAGAGATATTCTTTATAAAAGTTGAGTCAACCACCCCTACCTAAAACGGCTTGTTCTAACACGCCCCCCCCACATGTCTATGTCACGATGTGAGAAGATTTGCATAACACCGCCCAAATGTTCACGCAAAGAAGGCGTAACTTTGATTCTCGCTGTAGTATTGTTGTTGTTTGGTCTTCCAAAAGAGGACTATATCGCTTCGTCATGCCTAGAGCTGATTCGTACTGGTCGCTGAGGAAATACATCAACTTCGCGCTGTGGATCGCTGGATCTGCTTTCACCGTGGACGAAGCTGAGTCCAGCCCGGGGTCGTCACATGTAGTTGCTGCAAGCCCGCCAGCCGCTCCTTCGTCGAATCTGCCGGCCGCACCGTTCTCAAGCCCACCCGCCGCCTCCGCTCACTCTAGCCGGCTGTGTTTCGTTGTGAAAGCAAAACTACTTTATTTGGCCTTCCAAAGGAGGACACATCTAGAAATCAGTGGTTAAGTGGTATTTACAACACTGTTCCAGAACAGTTCAACCCAAATATTCAGATGTGTGCAGCACATTTTATGGAGGACTGTTTCCTGATCCTGGTAGAGTAGACTACAATGCTGGCTGTTCTGACTCACAGACTGTAAGTTTTTCATATTTAAAGGATTTGCCACTGACGATTCAAACGCGAGTTTTGAGCAGTGTAGAGTAGCGCTTGTTGTTTGTCATTTCTCTGATCACAAATGCAGATATGGTTTTATGTTTACACGGTGCGATGCAACTCATAAAAAGACAGTATAAATCCTTATAATCCATAATTATGTCCCCACTGGATGCAACAAATGCCTCGTTTGTAATGGGTTTTCATGTTTTTGTCTCGTCGCTCTGGCCGGGACACGGCATCACAATATGGTAAGGGGCGTAACATTTCTGTCACACGCTTGAGGAATTCGGCCAATCATAACACACTGGATAGCTGGCCAATCACAGCACACCTCCCTTTTCAGACCGATGAGTTTTGTAATACAATGCCGGCTGTTCTGACTCACAGACTGTAAGTAAGTTTTTTATATTTAAAGAATTTGCCACTGACGATTCAAACGCGAGTTTTGAGCAGTGTAGAGTAGCGCTTGTTGTTTGTCATTTCTCTGATCACAAATGCAGATATGGTTTTATGTTTACACGGTGCGATGCAACTCATAAAAAGACAGTATAAATCCTTATAATCCATAATTATGTCCCCACTGGATGCAACAAATGCCTCGTTTGTAATGGGTTTTCATGTTTTTGTCTCGTCGCTCTGGCCGGGAAACGGCATCAACATATGGTAAGGATAGTAACACATCTAGAAATCAGTGGTTAAGTGGTATTTACAACACTGTTCCAGAACAGTTCAACCCAAATATTCAGATGTGTGCAGCACATTTTATGGAGGACTGTTTCCTGATCCTGGTAGAGTAGACTACAATGCTGGCTGTTCTGACTCACAGACTGTAAGTTTTTCATATTTAAAGGATTTGCCACTGACGATTCAAACGCGAGTTTTGAGCAGTGTAGAGTAGCGCTTGTTGTTTGTCATTTCTCTGATCACAAATGCAGATATGGTTTTATGTTTACACGGTGCGATGCAACTCATAAAAAGACAGTATAAATCCTTATAATCCATAATTATGTCCCCACTGGATGCAACAAATGCCTCGTTTGTAATGGGTTTTCATGTTTTTGTCTCGTCGCTCTGGCCGGGACACGGCATCACAATATGGTAAGGGGCGTAACATTTCTGTCACACGCTTGAGGAATTCGGCCAATCATAACACACTGGATAGCTGGCCAATCACAGCACACCTCCCTTTTCAGACCGATGAGTTTTGTAAAAATCGATGCGTTTCAGAAAGGCGGGGCATAGAGGAGAAACAATCATGTACAGTATGTGGAAAATGTTTTTTGAACCTTAAACCGCATAAACACATTCCATTACACCAAATACACAAAATAATGTTATTTTAACAACATCATGACGTATGTTACGTATTAGAACCATCTCTGCATTCTGTTATATCTATAAAGGAAATACTTCTGAGGCAAACAAACAACATCACATGGCGAAAAACTGACTTTTTCCGTTTTAAAAACTCAAAAGTATTACATTTAGTCCTCCTCTGAGGTTTTCAACATTTTTCACATGTTCTTTCAGTCTCACATGTTCAGCTGAACCATTTGCTCTTTTTGACTGCAGTCTTAGTATTTGATGTTCCCATTAGTTTCTTTTTGTACTGGTTCACCAGTGTGTCAAAGCGGACATCCTCTCTGTTCTGGAACTTTAGTTTGGCAGGTTTGGTATTCTGCAACAGAATAAATACACATAATAATTACAAAAGATAGATAACGGGTTAAACTGATGGTACAACCAAAAAATACACATATAATACTGTTCAACACCACAAAAAAAAAAATTCCATTCACTGGTTGCTGATGTCTGTAAATGCCGCGATTAAAGACGCCGCTTCAGAGTTCCTGCTGCTGGTGCGAATGCAACCAGGAAAACAGCCCGAGGGAGAAATTGGTTCTCTAGGAACGACCTTGCTGGCTAGTTCCTAGAACTACGTGGTGCAAAAGTGCCATAAATATATCTCTTGCAGTGATTACAGTTCCCACAAAAATAGTCCGTTTTAATCAGTTTTCAACGATAAGAAATGTTTGCTAACCACCAAATCAGCATATTATAATAATTTCTGAAGGATCATGCAACGCTGTAGAGTGATTAAAATTCAGCTTTGCCGTCACAGGAATACATTTTAATAAAAAGTGTATTTTAATTAGGCTGTCAGTTTAATGCGTTAATTAGTTATGAAAAAATAACAATTAAAATATTTTAACTAACGCACTGGCCACGCCCCCAGACCTGTACATCATCTTACATTTCATACAGTTGACAAATATGATGCAGGGCAACAACTCAAATGCAGTGATGCCCTAAAATTCAAGATATTGTGGCAAAAAATTTCCCTGTATGAGTTTTAGTCTCATATTTATATCATATGATAAGCGAAATTACACGAGCCGCAAGAGCAATATGACACAAGTGCAGTTTTTGTCCCAAATATCACGAGTTTAAATGTGATTTTATACAACCGTTCAGTGTTATTGACTGTTTTTTGCACAATTTTGCCAACAAAAATATCTATAAAGCCACAGCATAACTGTTGGGCGTCTCTGAGCAACACAGTGCTGATTCGTTTCTGAATGAATCTGCGTTTTGAACGAATAGGTGAACCAATGATTCAAAGGTCCATTCATAAAGAGAGCCGTTTACTTCATTACTGAATGGATCAGCCGTTTGAACGAATCGAATGAATAAATCAATGACTCAAAGACATTTACCACCACCTGCTGGCAGTTTTAGTTTTTTATTTAGAGTATAATTTCATTATTATTAATAACAATAATAATAATAAAACATTAAAGGGAGAGTTCAACCAAAAATTTTTATTCGGTCATCATTTACTCACCCTCATGTCATTTCAAACCTGTATGATTTTCTTTCTTTTGCACAACATAAAAGAATGTATTTTGAAGGCTGTTGGTAACAAAGCTGATTTGGTTATCAATAACTTGTATGAACAAAATTCTGAGATGTTTCTCACTTTCTCTCTTCTTTCATGTTCCATAGTTTATGTTAGGCCGATGTAGCCTAAATGTTTGTGTGTAATACATTTTACGTTGAATCAAATACAATATTTCGTTCTAAAGCTACTATTTGTAATATCTACTTGATAATTTCTCATTAAACACAATAATAGCTTTAAATTATCTTTAGTGGGTAATTTTACAGCCAAATTTAATTTGCGATTAATTGGCACATCATGTAATTAATGTAACTGACAGCACCAATTTCAATATAATAATAATTATAATATATATAATAGGAAACCAACATTTTAAATAATAATAATATTTATTTCTATTAAGCATATAATTTATATAATATTCAATTTAAGTAACTATCTCTCTTCAATTCTTTGCCTTACCGGTTTCCTGTTCGTGCTGGATTTCTCAATGAAAGTAGGCCCCTTTCTCTCTTTCCTGCTGGGCACTTTCTTCTGTTTCTTGGGTTGTACCATGGGTTGTTTCCCTTTATCGCGTTTCCTGAGGAATAGTGTGAGGGTCATTGTACATTATAGTTTTTTTTTATTTATTGTTGAATCAATGGTGCTGGTTCCATTTTGAGTTGTACCTGATCTTTGGGCCTCTGTGTGAAGGCATGTGCAGAACCTTGGGCCGCTTTTTGCCATCCTTCAGTTCTACATGCTCCACCTCTGGTTTGGTCATAAAGCCGCTGTACTGGCTTCCTTGTTCCTTCTCCTGTTTAACAACATTAGCTGCATTTCCTTTCCTCAAAGGTCCTTTCTTCTTCCCAGAATGCTGCTGCTGCTGCGGCAGTTGCTCTCCTTTTTGGCTACTGCCTTTTTTGAGTTGCTTCTGTGGAAAAACACATCAATTTAAGCCATTTAATTTTGACATTTTCAAAACGTCACATTGAAAGGAAACCAAGATGCAGCTGAGCCTCACCTTGCTGTTTTCCAAACGAATGGCTTTAAGTTTCAGCTTTCTTCCATCCTCCAGAGAGAACTCCACTATGGGTCTCTGACGGGAACAACACGGGAAATTACATCATCAAACATTCATACTTCACCACTGGTCTTTCTCAATCTTCAGCTGTTGCTCAATGCTAAATCTTTTTCTGATTTATATTAAGTGAAACAGCCATGAGTCTTGGCCACAAGTGTTTGGGAATAGAACGATTCATCTTATTTTTGAGAAGTTACATTCAATACAGACCAAAACACATTCCATTGAGCATCAGAGGAATGCATGTTTATAGGACGTGTGGAAAGGTTGACAGACAAAATGTGATTTGATTCGTTCTATAGTGCATTCCTTTGTCCTCTTTTGCAAAACATTGAAGGGCCACTGCTGTGAAGCTGGCAATAAAGCCCTTAATAACAGGCCCTCAAAGTGTGTTTACACACCAGCAAGCTATAGCTAATATCGTCTAACACCGTTCCCTAATGCAATGACCCTGAACATACTTCTAAGAATTAAGACAGACACCTCGGTGGCCTGTTTGCCTTTCTAGGAATAAATCGACTTGATAGAACAAACAGGTTATCAAATATCCCTTTTTTCTACCAGTGCTCTCAGCAAACAGTGAGAATTAGTTTCCAAATAAGGCCTGATTCTGGGATTTGAACAACAGCGAATTTGTAGTGGTCTACCTTTTGGGGTCCAACGATGTCTGGGTTGTTGTTGAGGTGACGTAGGGCTTGTAGAGCATGCTCATGCTCTTTAAACGCCACAAAGCCATATCCCAGAGACTTGCCGATCACCTGACCACGAATAGGCTTCTTGTCATACATCACACGACACTGTAGGCACATATATACAGATATATACAATCAGGAATTCTTGTTATATATGCAAAAGTTATGGCATAAGTTAACAAAAACACTGATGTAAGTTATGCAGTTAAAGATGATGTTGGCGATTTCAGTCATTTAGGTACCAGGGGGTTTCTGCAGGTTTTCTGAATGTAAATTTAAGACCTTTTTAAGATCAAGTAAAGAAAATGTATGGAAAAAATTGAATGGAACACAATGTCAATATAGTCTCTAAATGTAACGCTTCAAAGTTTGAAATTACAACTTGGGTATAGATCTCAATTATGTTCAAATGTATTCTACCCACCAAAAAACGACCTCAGCTAAAATATGGAAATAACTTTCACTGTACCTTCTGCTCACACTGTAAAAAAGTGATGTTCTTTATCAGTATTTTGTCTTGTTTTGCAGTGCAAAACATTCTTACATCAAAATAGATGTAGTCTAAACGTCTTTTCGTTTTTAGAGAAATTGATCAAAATGTAAAACATTAAAAATAATTCATTTTTAAATATTACGATTAAATTTTAAAATGTTTATGATCAAAACAAGAACAAATATCTGCCAATGGGCTCATAAAAATCTACTTCAAATGGAAAACATGTTTTCATACACCAACAGATCTTTGTTCTTGTCTCAGCCATAAACTTAATTTTATTCAATTTCTCAGAAAACTAGGGTTCACGTGTTTAATTTGCATCTCAAGTAAATGTATCTTGATTTAAAGATGTTTATATATTTGTATTGAAAAACAAAAACACTGAGGACGCTCCTTTTTTTGCAGTGCATGCAAAATTTTAATTCAATGGCTTTACAAATTTATTTTATTTACTTTAGATTTATTTGCTTTTAACATTTATCTTTTTCAGACACTCAAAATGACTGATAGGCACAGAGAGAGTTTCTAATTGGCAAAGCCTATCACAGAGGCTGGGTAATTTCAGTGATATCTTTCAGGTCGTAATGATATTTTGTGTCTGGCATTACTCAAGAACTAAATAAACACCACCTTAAACCTATGGGCAACCACAAGGTTGTTGGGTTAGAACCCTGCAAAAGCGGTTTCATGAACTACAACAATTGTGCCTTTAAATAAGACTTTCTTGGATGACTAACTAACACCACTAGACAGTGAAACCTCCTGATCCTACCCAAATAACATAGTTCTGCCCTCTAGTGTTTCTAGGAAGAACTGTGAGAATACTACTTTATTTATTCAACATTGTTTTGAATTTTGGTTTGCTATTAGTTTTTTTTTTTTCTAGCACTTGGAAGAAAAAAGCAGTACTTTACCTCCGTAATGCAGACCCCTTTACCACCAGCAGCAGAGAGGCAGAGCTTCTGAAGTTTCTGTTGATCCACATTCTTAGGCAGGTTATGAACACACAACCGTGTTTTAGACACATAAATGTTCATGTCCTTTAACTTTGACCTTTTCAGCTCCTCAAACTGACAACACAACAAACAAAAAAACATGTTAAACGCAAAACATGCAGAAGAAATACACTTTGGCCCCCTTTACACCCAACATCATTATAAAGCACTTAGAGCAATATAGAGTAACAGATAAAATAGATCACTTATTTTTTTATCTGCCAAAGTGACAGAAAGCATCTTGAAGAATTTTTTTTAATTGTTTTGTTTAATTGACCATTTTAAGTGTAATGTATAATATGTATGTGCCATCTCTCATTTCGAGTGGGAAAGTGCAATCAGATCTCTAAGTAACAATAACAAAGATTATACAGCCACCGTCCGGATACAAAGTGCTTATTAATGCCCGGTTTAAAGAGTGCCTTTTATTTGCTCAGGAATATGAACATAAGTGAAACAGCTTGCAGTATTGATTTGGATTTATAACATTGTGTATTTATTATTAAAAATTGAAAATGAGAATAACTTTCTTTCACTGAAATAAAGATGAAATAAAACAAATATTAGATGATTTTTTTTTAAATAATAATAAAAAAAATATTAAATGTTGCCTTGGCACTAAAATGAAATACTAAAATGTCTCAAATTAAAATGTAAATAAAAATGTATTAAAGCCACATAAAATATTTGAAACAAAAACTTTGAAACAAATTTACTAAACTAAAAAAAACAAATTAATTGACAAAATTAAACAAAAAATTAAGTAATAAAATTAAAGAATTAAAAATAATAAATACTATTAGGGATGCACCGATACCACTTTTTTGGCATTAATACTGAATGTTTAACATTATATTCATTGCATACATATACTTCGTAGTAGACATCCTTAACTCCTTTCAGCTGTTGTTCTGTTGTTGGTGTTTCTTTGTCTGAATATGGCACTGATCACATGCTGTGGTATCGGCGTTTGGTATCGGGGCATTTTAACAAGTACGAGTACAGGAGACCAGTATCGGGCCCGATACCGGTATCGGTGCATCCCTAACTACTATTATACATTATATAATATATACAGTATATATATATAGACAGATAAACAAATAAGTAATAACAATGGTCAGTCAAACTTGAGAGATAATAATGAAAAAGATGCCCAAAATCACTCTTCATACTCACTCTTGTCCTCTTGGCCAAGTCAGTTTCTGAAACTCCCTCTGCAGACTTGGATCCAGGACGAATCACTGGAGAAAGTTCAAGAAGTAACAGGTTAAATCAGGTGCACATATGCGCTTCACTGCTATTAGCTAACCCAATTTAAGCTCTGTTATTGGTCAGCTGACTGGCAGAATTTTGAGTCTGGCTTTACTCACAGCCCTCTCTGGCGAGGTAAAGGTTCCTGGAGCCTGTGTGAGTTTTCACTTTCTTGTCCTTGAATTTGGTAGCGTCTTCTCTGTTTACTGCAGGCAAAACGTTCAATCTCCTGCCATCAACCCTAATGCCACCAAACTGAAATGCACATATGCATCAGCACAATAATCTTGTGTTTACTGCCTGGTATAATGCAGTGTAATTCTTACAACAGCTGCAGGACAACGAACTCACCTCTTTTTCATCTTCAGCAGCAGCAGCGATACATTTGTCTGCCGCTTCTTTACTTTTGAACTGAGCAAAAGCACAACCTAAACACAGACAGACATGGAAAAAAAAGAGAGACTTACTTTAAAGAAAGAACTCTGATTCCATACAGGCCGGGGTTTTGATGACTGAAGCTACCTTTTGAATATCCTGTGTCTACGCTCATCACCACACGAACGTATTTTAGCTCACCAAACTGCAACAACACTTCTTCCAAACCCTCTTCATCTGTGTCAAAGGCCAGATTTCTAACAGGACCCAAATTGAAGATATGTCAATAAAAATATGAATTCCTACATACAAAAACGTCTGTTATTGATTATAAATACAACAAGAGAAGTTCCTTATATGATTATCACCTGATGAAGATGGTTCTTCCCTCATTCACATCTGAAGGAAGAGGGTCTCTCTTCTTCTTTGGAGGAGCTGAAGGAGGAGATTTATAGAGAGTCATTTAAAGACACAAAAAAAAGTTAAAAGGTAATAAAGGTAAAAGGTAATAAAGGTAAAATAAGGTAATAAAATTTTCTAAAACAGAAAATATAATTTAATTCTGAATATATATATATAAACTACAATTTCAATTATACTAAAACAACACGATATAGTATACAGGTCATCCTAAAATAACACTGCTGTAAATAAATAATAGTTACTTTTTCCCTCAGCGTCGTCGGAGTCATCATCATCATCATCATCGTCTTCAGGTTCACTGGCATCACTGTCTGTCTGCTGAGATTCAGAGTCATTTTCGGCATTATCTGCTTCACTACTATTGGCTTCATCATCATCATCATCCTCGGACGCCTCTTCTTCTTCTGACTCAGAGTCATCCTTTGTTTCCTGTAATGTGGGCCTTCACACAAGACAGACCTTATGTTCAATTCACTGAAATCATCTTCACACACTTTAGATTTGTTGCACTTCCTGTACTTACTTTTTCTTGGCCTCTTTTTCTTTCCCATCAGCTCCTGCACCTTTAGAATTCACATTCTCTTCTTTGATGGTTCCTACAAGATATCCAGATACACTTCACTACAAAACCTAGAGGGTAGATGCACCTTCAAAGCTTTTTACAACTACATCCACATAAATAAATGATGCTGATGGAGTTTAAATGAAAATGCACATTACCAGCTGCTCCCGCTGATTGGTTGGCGAGATACTTGTCTTTTGCAATGGCCCAGTCCACAGCCACCTGTCTGTCTGTGAGAAAGGATTTAATAGCATTTTATCATACTAAAAGTGAAACTAGAAGTGTCAGTATACACACACCTAGTCAAAAGTTTGGAATGATTACGATTGTTTTCATGTTTTTGAAAGAGGCCTCTTCAAGGCTACATTTCTTTGGTATACAGTATAACAGTAATATTCTGAAATATTATTGCAATTGAAAAATCTGCATTAATGTAGTAGGCTTGCTGCGATAGATGGTGTTTTTGGTTATGCCGGTGTTAAGCCGCAACACTGGTTACGTCATTTGCCTAACGTGGCACCACCCCCCATCGTCATTTTGATTTTTTTTATAGAAACAAAAATAATTTAGCCTAGTTCAGTTAGAGGACAGATACTTTAAAAAACAAAACGCTCAATGCAGCGTGCCGAACCGTGGGCGAACGACAGTGCACCACGGAGCAGGAGTCAGATTTTATTTATCACGTGAGGAGAGTGAGTCGAGCTGACTGACAAGAGTGAGGTGAGAAAGACAAGACGATGGCAGAAGATTGTTTAGAAAGGAAATGCAAAGGCACCCGTTTGGCAATATTGTAGATTTTGAAAAGCCTATTGACTGGAAGTTTTGACTTATTTATTTGGTTCCACAGTGTTTGCTGAATACTTTATTTAAACTTTGTGTATTTTATTTATTTTATTTTACATCAAGGTGTATGTGCCGTGCCTCCAAGCGTTCTTATTCGTTTTGCTAATAAACGTTCTATGTTTCTTATTTATTTGGTTCCAGTGTTTGCTGATTTTCAGTTTTATATACCTATTTAAATTTTGTGTAGCCCAAGTAATTTGTTATTTTATTAGGCATATATGGTGTATTTTTATTAGTTTTGTTAATAAAAGTTATGAGTTTGATGTTGTTGCTTGAATTGAATTGAATTGAATTCAACATCGAATTGCCGCTAATTCGAAAGTGAAAGTAAAATGCGCACAGCACTTTTACAAGCCATTTGAGAGCTAAGAAAAAAGGGAAACTCAATCGAACTAACACCCCCCCTCCCACCCCAACGGTGATACCGGTATTACCGGTGTTGTCAC